TATATAGTCGGAAATTTCACCAGTCACGCTTCCACTAGCACTCAAACAACAACTTAGGTACACTAAATCTTCATAAGCTTCCCGTAATTCACCACCAAGAGTAAGTGGAAGTATAGGTTGCTTGTGAATCTGTTAGAAGTATTTTGATGGTGTAAAACGAACACCACGATTAAGGATTGTGATCGTCAACTGACTGAGTGCAATTTGAGCAACCTTCGTGCTGTCGCACACTAAACGTTACTGCCCGAACGCTCGAGATCTATATATTTTTCATCTACACCACCACCATGCACCTCTTTCACAGCTGTCTTTATAATGTCATAAACGGCAAAGTTAAGAAGGAATGGCGAAAGTAGGCAATCCTGCCTAACTCCACTATCGTTTTAGTACAAAGAAGGCAAGTGGTTGTATGTATTTACCCTACCTAAGGCGTTGAATAGGAGTTTCAGGATGTCAACAGACTTCTGAGGCACATCCTTCTCTAACAAACAGTTGTAGAGCGTAGCACCGTTTAACGAATCGAAAACAAACTTAGCATCGAGAAGCATGTCGTATGACGGTGTTCGAACATCTGGCGGAAGGTGGAAACATGATTAATGCGTACACAACCTGAAAAGCCAATCCATCCTCGATGAAATTCTCGCGCATTTTGCACAGCCTTCAAAGTATGATAGCAGTCAACACTTTAGACGCCACCAGTGGTAGACTAATGCCTCGATAATGATCAAGTCCACTACGTAGACTCTTTTTGAAGATGGGTACAACAATAAATTTATTCCTGAGTTATGGGATGCTGTTTAGAAAACCTTCCCAAAGAACGTAGTCAGTTTCCCGACTGCGGTCCCGCCTTCTATTTTTAGAAGCTGGAGTGCGTTGTCTGGGTAGAGCGGCTGATGGTGCCGAAAGAACAAGGTACCATAGGAACCTCCGCTTTGTTAGGTGGGTCAGTGTGTTAACTTATCAGGGAGCGAAAGACATTGAAACTGCTGGAGCTATAGGATAGCTGAGCTGCTTTTTGAAGTGCTCTGCTCACTGATTCAGGCATCTGTGAAAGTTGATGATCGGTGTATGATTAACTTCACAAACCGTTTTACTGATACAAAACTTCTGGCTGACGGTAGCATAGATGAAATGGCATAACTGCCAACCGCTTCCAAGAGCAGTGAGCGCTTTTATCTCACTCGTGCATTTTGACCACGAGGTCTCACAGTCCCTATGCAAATACTGTTTGATCTGTCACATAAGGAACTTACGCTAGCTGACTACCACGACACATCGATGAGCAACTAGAAGTTGTAAGGAGCTTGCGGACAACCACTGCTTATTCGTGGAACCACAAGAAGCTTTACCTGCTGTTTTCATGGTGTCTTGTAAGTGTGGTCAATAGTCATCTACACTTTCTGGAGGTTCGACAGCTAGTCCTAAATCTAGCCCGGTTTGGTACTCATTTGCAATACTGTGTAACCGGTCGACCAGTTTCGGACAACAATTCTGATGACTTCCAAAACGCAAGATGAACTTAGCACATACCAGAGGGTGCTTAGATCCCAGACAGGTGCTCCTACGGGAATGGCAGTTTCGAATACACCTACGACATCAGTAGGTAATTGCATTACAATTTGAGTTCACACCTGAGTGGTATACAGCGTATATCGACAGCAAAGCTATTGACAGTTTTAGCCAAACCTGTCTGCTGTCTGCTCCGCATCAAGGTCCGAACGGTGAAGGTGGCCAGCTTAAACGGTATATGCGACTTCAGAACAGTTGCATCAGATATCACACTTAAGAACAGCTTTTCAGAGGGAACTGTCCAGTGACTCACAAAGATGCAGACATACCAGGATTTTAGTCGAATGAAACAAAGATACACATAAAGATGAATTTGGAAATGACAACTGGAAGATAGATATAAAGGTAACGGTGATATAAAAATGAGTGACATTAGTGGAAAGAACGTTGTGCAGTGAATTTTGTTCTGTACGGTAAAACTTGGTGAGCTCTTGATAGTCTTTTTCACTAGCCTTGATTTAGGAATTGCATATGGACTATGAGACTGCTAGGATGCCCAGGCCGAGGGAGGCAGTTGTCTTGAAAGATCACTCCTCAAGCCTTTGACTTGAAGTATGATCCACAAGGCAGAGGAGCAATATAAGGTGCCGCAGCCTCATGATTACTGGTCACTAAGATAGATTTATTCACCATTTCTCCGTTCTGGATGGTGGGACCTATGTGCACTAATGGTTTGGAAACAAGGCTCTGCAGTTCTCCGTGTATACCAATCAGGTTACATAGCCGAACGTTCGCAAACGCCTTCTTACTATTGTGAAAAAACCGCACGATGTGAACGCAGTAAATGCAACTTCCCTGGGAGAGGCTACAAACACAAGCCGCATGAAAGCACTCCGATAGGAGGACCGAGAGCATCCCACTCTTGGTCACGGTAAGGTGTTTGGATTCTTCATGCACACGACGCTGGCAAAGCTCTAGTTAACTGATATCAAAGTTACAACCCAGCATTCAAACCATTCAACATAAGCACCAGGACAAACGTTTAGGGGCAACTAATTTGCTTTCAGTTGCAACCGAAATTTCATTGTGATTTCAGTCATACGCTAAACAACGGTTTCTTTCATAAGGTTGTAAGAAACTATGCACAAGTCGAAAGCAAGCATCTTTTGCAAACAGGATGGTACGAGAGAACCCAAACTATTATTTAAGCATACTCTGAAGATTACTATGCTTACCAACTTGACACCTTATTCACAACGAATATGTATTTTGTGACTGAGTTCTTCAGATAAATCAGTTCACTCAAAGTAACACTTCTTGAATTACTGGCTTTCGATAACCATGAAGTAGTAATTTGGGAAACAGTTATTATGAAATGACCATCTTCGCATGTTTTAGTCCGCAAGTTGAGTGCCTACATCACAAATACACTGAGATTTATTGAGTAACGGATTGCTCGTGGAACCAAACACAAGTTAATGTTTTATGGCTGACTTCGCACTACAGAATGAATGAAAGCACTTGTCAGTTATTCTGAAACTATACTAAACCAGTTAGACTTCCGACCACGCGAAAAACAAAATGACACAGAGATCCTGCAGACAGTGTTTATTGTTTCTTCTTTTCAAAAATAACAGGAATATAAATACAAACCTGCTACTTGAATTTACTAAACGGATATTAAGTAATAAACCTAATAGTTTCGTGAATCAAAAGACTTTAAGCTTTACTAATTCACATTAAAATTAATGAAGACTGCAATATGATGGTTTAAATTACTAAACAGATTAGCAGAGTCCTGTGTAAGAGGTTACCCCCTTGTGTTCTTTATATTTTTTCAAATCCTTTTTAAATAATTCTGTCGACGCTGCACCGTTTATGCTACACTCGAGGAAGCCACCTCTTTCGAGGCGTACTACACTGTTACATACAGTCACTAAGCGAATACTAACCGTTCAAAATATACTGCTAGGATTAAAAAAAAACCCTAAAGTAGTACCGCCTTTGACTACTTCACCGTTTGACACAGATCGTTAGCATCAGCTACAAACTATTACATTTCAAACTTTGGTTTCATTGACAGGATTCAAAATGAGAAAAGCTTATAAGTGGGGAAGATTAAAAGAATTTAAGTCAGTTAGTGGAATATAGGAGATAAATATTCAGCATCTGAGAAGCCCGATTGCAAATAATTAGCGGTTGTATTGCATATGCATTATAGCTTATCGAAACACATTTAGCAATTATTTATGAGATCTACTTTCCTGGTGGCAGAGTTAGAAGTGCTCAATAAATATAAGTATTCATCACATGTGCCACTAACCGGTGAACGTTAACATTAAGCAAACAAACAAATATTTGCAATTATGGCTAATCCTCCCTGAGGTATGTAAGGAAAGCTTGAAGTGATGAGTGCATACACTGCGAACGACTACAGCTCTAGGAGGCAGTAATTTCCCAATTTTCTTACACTTCATTCAAAACAACTTGAGTATATTTATCGTTTATCTACGATGCTCAGCAGAGAAAAAGTTTACTAAATTACAGAGTCCAATCAGTTGGTAAATCTTCCTGAGTACGAGGTTCGAACTGAATACCTATCAGGAAATTTCCTTAACATGTGGTACCAATCACACATCTCAATTGACACAACACATTACTTGCAGGATAGGAAAGAGTTACAACTTCTGTGAGGGTTTATTCTATTACCTGGTGAGTAGATGGAGTGGGATATAAACACACACACGACTAGCTAAAGGTTGACAATGAATAGATAGGTAGGTAGAAAAACGAAGGGTACCATGCAAGAGTAGTTGATTGCATTTACACAATTTTACATCAGCTAGTCCCTACATAACTGGTACGTCTAGTCCAATGGCAACATGGGTTCATTTTAGGCAGAAAGACAGCCATTGTCAAAATACGACCTGGCGTTACCGTGTAGCAAATCTGCATCACTCAGCAAATAAGCAGTGAATGAGCAAGACCAAATTTTTTATGCAACAAACCTCTCAGCAAAAAAGTGATAGCGAATACATACTTTGTGTGCTACAAGTCACTTCACGATCACTGTGATAAGAAAATGCATTCGGTAGCATTTTTTTTAAAACCATGCACTGCTATCATACAAATGAATTTATCATAAGTTTAAATAAAGGAAAGAAAACAAATCATTCAGATTATGCATTGATTCAATTATGACACATGACGCTAAGCGCCAACAAAATGTACAAGCTCATTTGAGCGAAGGGGAAAGTATACAGGGAAAATAGAGGGAAACGACCATGAAGGCCCTATGTACAACTGAAGCGCAAAGGCGCAATAAAAACAAGCTTTGCGAAAGCTACTAGATCTCACCACTTAATACCACTGGGATTGTAGATAAATTGTTTATAATGAGGTAATAATTGAAAATTAAAGTGGAGGGTTAGTTAAATGCTAACAGCGAACCATATAAAACAGACAAATTTCATATTGCAGGATCAAAAAGATTATGTCGGGAGTTGAAAGATCTGTGTTGGGCTTACTCCATTTGTGGTATGCAGTTGAGGACCAGGAACTTTTGAATCCCTAGACCCACAGTCACGAGTTAGACAGCGCACTTTAGGGGGTGGCAAGACTGAAGGGTCTGTCAGCAGCATTCTGTTGTCTGGTAGAGAAAGACCATTTCCATTAGAACTGCCGAAAGAAATATCAGCACCAAGCGATTTGGCGAACTCAGAAGACTGCAACCCAACACCAAACGGCCTTGCTAGCTTCCGCCAGAGGCAAGGACTCGATACCAAACTATTACTAGATTTGGATAGGGATATCAGTTGAGGTACTTGACACATATTTGAATTCGTATTGGAAGCTATATATATATATATGAAGCAAGTCCAAAGAAATTTTAGGTTTTAGCCATCATGAATGCAAAACCAAGTTATTATATGCTTTATCATAAATTCTCATACAAAATCTGACAAACTGGAGAAAAGAATAATTCCCATAGCACTTTCACATGGTACGATCGACAAAACTTGTGATGTGCAAACACCAGACACTGTGTCAATATGCGAAATCAGGAAGATAAAACCTTCAAAAAGCCGAAAAAGAGCACAAATAAAAAAGGCTCACCGTGACCACTGACGATGTATTAACTGATTTCTTTGACGGTTGGTCGTTCACGGAGTGCAAAGGAGAATGTTTTTCCTGAATCAACAAACTATCATTTGAAACACCAGTCAACTCACGTTCCACATCCAGACCAATCTCATCAATGGTCACATTATTTATATTCTTCCTCGAAGTTTTTGGAGCATCGGCTTTCGATGAGAATAGAAGAGACAGACGAGAATGTCTAGGTCCTCCGGACCCACTACATAGAGGCTCGAAGGATACTGAAGGGGTTATATTTTTACAGGTAGGCCAGGAAAAAGTAGGAACTCCATTATGTGAGCTGAAAATGGAAGTCTTCAGTCTATCAAGCAAAGCGACATCTTTTGCTTGTGATTGTCGCCAGCAGGATTCCGAAGATACATAATCTGCATTGGTTAAACCAGTTGACTGTGGATTGGCATCATAAGATTCAAGGAAAGCAGATAGCATAGTGGGAGCTGAGACACGATCACAGATCACTCGACCGCCACGACCAAGGCGACGCCTTATGTAGCCGGTATACGTAGGATGCTTTGTATGGCACAGCCACGGAATTGTCGCCAATGTGTAGCAGGAATGGGGAGGACAGTAAGGATGAGAGTTGGGTGACATGGAACACTCTTCCACCAAAGGCCTAGGGAAATAAATATGAGCATAAAAACCTCACGTGAAAAGAAGATAAATGGAAAGCAGTCTAATACATCAACATAAGGGAACCCCCAGTAGTTATAATTTACTAGAGTGTAACCAAACCCAACCATCTAAAAAGTCGCGAAACAAGTCCTAAGTCAATGAACATTCCAACTGTAGTTAGATTGTGAACGTACCAACCGAATTATCAATGTCAGTGGCTTGGTGTGGACTGCGTACAAATTTGCAGACCCCTTGAAAACACAGATGACCAAACATAAGACGTCACACCTAGGCAACCGGTACTCGCAACATGACTGTGTCCAACACATGCAAAGGAGTGGTTTTACTAGTGCCAGCTCACTAACTTTAAAGAGAAAAATAGCACCCATCATTTCAAACCACTACCACTATTAGGTATCATGTACGATATTGCCTGGTTTTGCCTAACTCTGATTAAGAACAATGGGCAAGAGAGTGGGCTTGACATATAGTGACGAGATACTCAGTAAAACTCGTCTACCCCTTCTGTAACAGCAACGCGAAACCCACACATCTAACGACAGCAAAAGTGAGAAGCATCGGGATGAAACTAACGGATAGCTAGTCATTAGATATGTTATAGTTGGATATTTCGTCGGAGTCCCTTCAAACAATCAGAAGCACGGGATAAGCCATGTGCTACTATCGTTGATAATGAATTCGTTTGAAAAACCGCAGTGACCAACCAGCTGGGACTATGAAAGTTGACCACATGTTCACACCCACTTGTTCACGTAATCAGAATCTGATGTGTCACTGTAAGTGGTGCACGACCCCTCCACACCAGACTCAATTACATATCTATTCTGACATGATACTAGACTGAAGATATGCTTAGTTCTATGTATTTGGTGAAGTCCCAGCGGCGTGATACTTTAACTAGACTTAGGTATGTGAAGACGATTGAAACAGCACTCATGTGTCAAACTGATTGGAAGCCAAATGCAGTGAACCGCTACCGAACTTGAGATCTGCCTGGTTCAAGTGTGCGTACAAAACTCATTAGTTGTGTGGTATGCAACCGGCCTTTGTGTGAAATGAAGCAACAATCCCACTATGTAAAAAGTCGCATCGACTTAATATGTATTACCAAGACTATCGAAGGGAAACAAACAAGATCGATTCGAAAAAAGCTTATATTGAACAACAGACCTTTTTGAATCTATTAGTAGTATTTATTCAAGTACTATGTACAAAAATATAAGCAACTGTTCTTTCATGAGTGAAAATGCTGAGTAAAAATATTGAACGCCCGCAAAGTATGGATCAGCGAGATGTTCCTGCATTATGTACAAACGGAGTGCATGGTCAATGATAAGCACTATGACTTCGTAGAAATTAGTGTTCTACTTACACTACCTACAAAAAGCTGCAAGCAAATAGTCGTAGACAGTGGGTATAACTTAATAAATAAGTAAAAGTTTAGCACATAAATATGGTAGGTTCGCTGGCTAACCAAATACCTTGGCTTCAGATATCGGCAACCAGGAGTCCGGATAAAAGAGAAAGGTTCACTTTGATTATCTTCATTGTCAGAAACATCATCAGAACTTGTAGGATTTGGAAGACTACTAAATCTTCTGGACAATTTCCGCTTGCGGTTTGGACGTCTCTTGTCCTAAAAAAATAGATAGATTTACTGGTCACGGAACTTACCTTTAAGGGCTTTGGTGTCAGGACATTTTCTGCGCTGTCGTTATACTTTCGTACCAAATTTTCAGCCTCCAGGAGATCCGAGCCCTCCCAATCGCACAACTTGCACCTTAACTGGAAGCACCTGTAATCACAACTGACTATAGCTTCCTTCGTGGCTTCACGTTTGACGAGTCGACTGAGGATCTCCCTAAGGAAATGAACGTTAAGAAATCGATACAAACCCCAAGGAATCCATCTGTTCACGCAAAATTAGCATCTTTTCATAAGACTGCTCATCACTTTTCCTGTTTTTACGGGTTTGCATCTTCTCACTTCGCCTTCGGAAGGCCACATATGGGTCCGTGTTACTACCACCATCTCGGCGCTCTTGTCGAACAGCATAAAGAAGAGGTTGTCTAGATTGAACACGCTTGTTAAGCCAATAATCGTATACAGCAATAACTAGTGATGGATGGTCTTGAAGGAGATACTTTGCTTCCTCCAAATTCATTACCTGGAAATAGTGTATTAACGGAAGGAGATGTACCTTCTGACCACAACCACGCTCAAGGCGATCTATCATGTACTCAAACTTCTCTGGAGTGATACCCAAATCACTTCGTTGGAACCACTCCTCATCCTCACTATCCATATCATATTCCACTGGTTCCTCTTCAGACAACACAATTGCTGCAGAAAATATGATGCATCAGGGGACATGACTTACTCCTGATATGTAGAAGCTGTTTTGGGAGACAAAAGCCATCAGGATACACTGTTTTGTATTCATTCTCTTTGTCAATTATTTCAGGTACGGGTATTTTTACATCTGAGTCAGCACGGAGTTGCAAAGCCTGGATAACTTCGAGAAAGTGGTGTTCCTGGTAGGAGGGTTGAAAATATGAGAGTTAGCTCAAACCACCACCTTTACAGTCAATATACAAGCCAGAATCAGACAAACAGACACAAGAACATACATCATAACACAATAAAAGCGCAAATATGATTACATTTTCCTCTTCCTTTTCCATCCCGCTGGGAATCTGTGGAACGCCACGATTGACCAGTGCATTTTCACTAATCTCAAGAAATAACTCGGAACCATGCTTCAGGATAGGTAACGGCTTGTTAAAATCTATCTGTCGAGCACGAAATGAGACTTTGCTCATAGCTGGAAAACAAGAACAAAAGGGATGAGGTCATCGACTGCCTATGAACCCTAGTTTCAAATTAATCAAAACCAAGATATGAGTTTACTTAGCCTCCTAGGCTCATTTTCTAGCTTATATTAATGTAATGACAGTTAAATAACCTTAAATATTTGATTGTTTTGGCCCCACTCCAATATGGCGCGGGGTCATTTACGTAAAATCCAATATGGCGGACAGCCAGACTGCATATGGCAGACAAAATGGAGGCGGGCTGATATCTTTGAATGATTATAACAAGGATTATTGGTTGGCAATTCCACAGACTTTCTGACATCTTTAATGCCTCACAATACTTGTATGGTGCATAAATTCACATAAGCAGTGGAAAGTCAGCTCCATAATCGACTTCCCTGTCTCAGAGATGCTGTAATGTACTGGAACCATACTGTTGTGTTTTGATTTTCCCAGTAGCCCAAGCAGACTCCTGTCACAGTTGCTCACACTACAGGACCTGTTGTACACCGGAGTAATCGAAGATATACAGAAAATGAGTGATAATAATAGTATTATTCCATGACATTGACTGTGTCCCTTGCATTATGAGACAATTGAAGGTGAGAGGAAAATATGGACCGCAGCCGGACTCGAACCAGTCATTCAGATGAAATAACTTGGTAAACCGACCTTCCCACTAAAAAAATGAAAGCGTGTACTCAGTCATTGGAAAAGAATAACTGGTGTATGACGCTACTTCCCATGCAGTGCGCCTTCTGGGAAACAATCGTATTTCCCAGCACCCTGAATGATTTCAAATCGCCCATGAAAAACTGTGTTGTAGTTGGATAAATTTCTGGTTCGTCTGCAGAGGTAGATAATTCCGTTCTTTCTTGTGATCACCGATCACTGCCCTGGAAAGAAATGCAAAACATTTTGTGGTAACTGTCTAAGCGAAAGCGGGCATTCTTCCGACAATCTTTTCTCATCCATAAGGCTAGCCCGGGTATTTCCTCCCTCTCAAATGACTGAATACGCCAAGTAAATCTTGTCTAGGGCTCACGGGGGGGAGTGGGATTAATTTCGCTGCTTATGTCTGGCAATTCGAATGGCGTTTAAAGTTGGTCTTTCTGAGTCGGTGCCAGGGGATTTGCGCTAGGGAGTTTTCATCATTTTGGCAGATGACAGTAATGCAGTAAGGGTTCCTCAGTTAGGAAGAGTCGTCAGACCTGTAGCAGCAGGGTGTGGTTATCTCATCAAAAAATGCGCATTTCAGTGTCGAATTTACTGGATTCTGTTGTCAACGCTTAGGTGGGCTTTCCCATCTCTTGCATATCTTAAGGTAGTTGTGCGACAAACAAATTCATCTAAGCATTCAAAAGCTAACAGAACGGTCTAGCAAATCGCAGATGAAGAAATGCCCTTCAAATAGTCTTAAGCAACAGTGGTTTGCATATCATGATAGGAGTGAACGCAGTTTATCACTGTCATACGCATTGAATGGTAGGGAGTAAAGGCAAGCCCAAGTGTCTTTTCTGACATGACTAGGACGAGACAGGTTTATTAACGGTCTCGTAATGGAGTGGCTGCGGTGTATCTTCACGATACGGAAGCACACCTACGTTTGAAATAAGTAAAAACATAACAACTGACTGGCTGGAAAACCAAGCAACGTGACACGAGGTGTTTAAAATTTACCTTTATATCTACAGAGCACACATTCAAGCTAAGTTGAGGCTTTCTTTGTGCCTACTGAAGGCTTCACGCGCAAGATCAAAAGTCCACTCACTTATAATCAGATAGGTCACAAACATCTTCCCAAAAATATCTCCAACGTTATGCTGCGTGACGTCATCCACCCGAGCGGCTTCAAACAAGAGAACGTGTCCTTCCATCCGTTCCTGGGTTGGCCTCGGGCACACCACGTGGAGTATATAATAACATATATCCAGACAACTTCGTAGGTCTGAATGGATTCCTCAAGGATGGAAAGAACTAGCTATCAGTCAGGAAACTCAAAAAAGGGAAATGAAGCGTTAAGGAACTTCTGATGTGTATACCTTCCGTGGAATATCTCAGCAGTGATCATTGCTGGTACCTTGATGAGTTTCAGTAGTCCCATATCAAAGGTGGAACACTTTGATATGTGTCCGCAAAACTTATTGGGGAACACGCCGCATAGAGGATCATAAACTCGATTGAGTGGTCTAATTTATAAGCTTGTTGGAATAACCGACCAGATAAAGGAAGGGCGAATGCTCCCTTTAGAAATGGAGTGGACAAGGAGGGATGCCCGCACTTGCAAATTATAGTTTGCGCCTACGCACTGTGAGTTTATAGGACTACACATCCAGAGTCCTTAGCTCAGGTTTGTGCAGTAACGCTATGATGGATATTGAGACCTGGTATTGTCCGTGCTTGTTCAGCAGTAACTAGGATTTCATGATAAAGCGATTCGACGTTTATGGGGCAATTATGCTTGCATTTGACTTCATGCTAAGTATTCCTGTGTTAGCTGATTCACATTCAACCTGGTTTTTGAACTCACGGCTGTCAGGAATCTTAAAGATAGTGTCAATTTTATAAGATACTTTAACCAAGGTACATTTGCATGGAAGTGCCTCAACCACCCAGTCGGGGCTAGTCGCTGAAGCATTTAGATACGAATGAATTCTTCGAGGGTACCATAAGCTGACAGTATAATGTCCTAAAAACACTTTGACTGCTTAACCACACCCAACTATTTCCTACTTCCCAGCAGTCCTCCACTGTAACTTTGTCTTCTCTGTGCGTAGTGATTCTAGAGCCTTAATTTGGCCCAAAAAGTGCCTTTTTTTCTACAGCCAGCCAAGATACACTGCAGCTCGAGACGGAGAAAATGGATACCAGTTTCGCTCCTTGCCTGGTGTTTGTGGTTTTCAAATGAGTTTAAAAATGCATGCATAGTTTTAGGGAGTTGAAATTAGGTGCCGTTTCTTCCCTAGTATTTGCAAATCTCAGCATGTGTGAACATGGGGAGTGGCGATAAATAAACCGTTGTCATGACGATGGGAATTAACTTCAAAATACTTATGTGTTGCACTGTTTTTGATCACCTTGTAGGCATGCGTGTTACAATTCCGTAACGTTCGATCAACCCTGCTTAACTTGATGTGCTCTAGTACCTGCTTAACCAGTACTTTACCTAACGTGTAAGTGCCGATAACAAAACACAAATCAAAAGAACTGATGCGCAATGTATTTGAAGGAGCTATGTATTTAATTAAAGTAAATGTAATCATAATGAATGAGGGAAAAGTTTAATCGACTTATCTGGCTTGTAAGGCTGAACTAGAAACTCGGAGTACGTGCGTGGTAATCAGCACAATGGAGCGCAAAATGGCGTCCAAGCCTGCTTGGATGCATGCTCGTCAAAACAAAACTTAAAACACCCTAAGCATCCAGAGGCAAGCTAGAGATTTATTTAGTTAATTTAATTTAAACTATTTATTTTAGCCTTGGTTGTACTTTAGTGCCAGGAAGATGCACTACAGGTTATCCCCCTCCTAGAAGGTTGTTGGGATACCGGCAACCTTCGATCCTAGGAGGCGACTGTGAGGCGGACACGCAACACCTTTCCATACTGGTGATGGAGTAGGTGACGTGTGGGTCTCCAAAGCTACTGCAACTATGCACACCTATGAAGTAAGATAACTTTGCGTTTAGACGCAACCCTTCTCGCAGTGGTGGAAGGCGACCCAAAGCCTCCGTCTACTTTTCCCTATTGCTCCTTAATCTACCGAGGAGTGTACAGGGGGAAATTGGTACAAAGAGAACCGAAGAACGATCCAAGTAGCATCGTCAGCGGCCAATTGTATCCAATTTTCAACGCATTTTCTAGGTTCTGCAAGAAGAAAGAAATAGGACATTAGAGTGCTAAGAAAAGAAAAACCAAACAATTTGAAGTGGGGGGAGTACAGAAAAAAAGTGATAACCAACCAAAAAAAGTTTTTTGAAATTTAGACTGTATTTTTGGTTTTTCTATTTTTGTTTTTTTGCAAAGTGGTGAACAAGACTTGTGAAAACTTTGGATATGAAAACGCATTGATAGTGCCTGCCACGACAAAATAGTTGAAACTCCGAATTTACCAAGTGTGAAGTTGCTCTGGGGCTAATTCCAATATCCAATATCCAATATTGATAGTGCGAGCGTAGAAAACTAGTAGTTTTTGATCTCTCGCGTCTAGTTCTTAGGGCTTGGTTCCAGTTGTTCGGTTCACTCCTGCAGTGGACGAGGAAATACCCTCTGCTTTCTTGCTTTTAGCTTCGGTGAGGTGGATGTTTTGTGGGTTAGTAGGTTGTAATTTGTAGAGTGATTAGGGAGCTACGGGCTGCTGGGAAGTTTAGAGAACAACCGTGACTCCTGTCTGTGTAGGTACCTGAAAGAGAATATTAAGGTAGTGGTAAAGGAATGAAGAGAGAAGTAAGGAAGAGTAAAAAAAAAAAATAAATAAATAAAAAAATAAAATAAAAAAAATAAATAAATAAAATTAAAAATAAAAATAATAGTAATAATAATGTAGGGAAGAGGAAAGGGAAGGAGAATAAAAGAAGGGGTGAAAAGAGAAATGAGAACGAAAGAAAAGTATTTGGGAATTGCGCGAATGGTCGCGTGGGTTTGGTTCCTACAGAAGAATTAGTAGGTAATGTGGGTGTATTAAGGAGAGAGATAGTGAGTGGTAGTTAGGAGGGAGTTGGGGGTACTGAGGTTGGTGACTACCTGAGTACGTCCGTGGTAGTCCATGCGAGGTGACATAACTGTCTAATCGCCTCTTGAAAGAGTCGATTGAAGGAGCTATAACGATGTGTCGCGGTAAGGCATTCCATAAAGCACATACTCTCAGGGAGAAAAATTTGGACCTGAGTGTGGTGTTGGCTCTCTGGTGTGCTATCTTAAAGGGGTTTCCTCGTGAAGATCGTTCAGTTGCAGGCAAAATTGATTTGTTTGCATGGTCTGCCTGATGGGCGATCTTGTATGCCATAAT